AGATATTCATGTTTGCATCCACAATATTCACACGGTAAGCCTTACTGGTAGCATTCTCTAACCAAGGAAAATCTTTTTGAAACCAAAACTTCTGAGCACTTTGAGATGTTTTTAACCAAATTGTGACATTGGTCTAACTATTAGAATGGAGATTGGGAAGTGGAGTCCTGCCAGTAGGAAAGTCTACAATCTAAACGTTGCGGTCCCACGCTGCACTGTTCATGTGAAAATCCTCTAAATTTTTTTTATTTTGATCTCAAACGGTTGACTATAAAACCCGAAACATGAACCGTTGGATGTATTTACATAGGTGTATCCAAGATCATGGACTGCAATATACGTAGCACTAGAGAACGTAGGAATGTGGAACATGAGGTCAAAGTTGTGGGAAAGACAATACTTGGGACAACAATTGTACATGCGTGTCTACACAACCTCGACTTCTCTCAGAGATGAATACCAAATCTCGAAAAACGCTCTTCTTTGTGGTAAAGCTAGTGGACGCCACAAAGGACTGCTATGAGTAACGTGAAAATTGAGAGAGAGTTTGCCATATAATAATGTGGTTTTAGTGTAATCTAATTATTTACAAAGATTTCTCTTCATATATTCATCATATACTTTCGACAATTTGATAAGTAATTTACAAAAATCTTAGTTATATTTGTTTTTTAACACTTTGTTTTATTAAAATTGATTTAAAATATATTACATTACTAAAAAAGTTCACTAGATGAAATACAAAGAGAAACTAATGGTCTTTTCCGCACCAAAAAATAAGTGAATATAATAATCGTTGACGACACATTAGCGATACCAAAATGATCTTGTTTCGAATCGAAGGTAGATAATTAGATGTTCCCGAATCCACAATAGCAATCGGATTTTCAAAATCTATTATGATAACATGATAACAATTCTCTTAATTTAGATATATCTCTTTCTTTGATTCTCTTTGTCAATTTTGTTCCGAGTTAACTTCAGTGAAGTCGTTGTTGAACAAGTTTGAACTGCAAAACTTAAATCAAATATATACCAGAATTGACTAGAAATTAATCTTAAATCTTCTACGAATGAAAAGCCTCAAGTAAAAATTTCACCAAAAAAAAACTCCCAATCAAAGAAAGCACAATAACTTATAAAAACCAGACGATGAATAACATCGTTTTCTGACCAAAAACTCTAGAAACTACTTATTTGCAACCTGCGATCCCTCTCACGATGCTGGCAAAAGCACCAGACATCGTAGAGGGAGTAAGTTCAAATCACCTTTTTTCTCTCCCTTTGCTTTGACGGCTAGGTTTTTTTTTATACTATCTTTAATTAGTAAAATAAACTTTTTACTACAAAATTTATAAAGTTAATAGAATTTAATCTTTAGTACTTTACTTAATTTACTAAAAGATCTATCATGGTCTTGGTCCATAACATAAAGTCATAATCCAACTCAAAGAAAAAAAAAATACATATAAATAACATTAAATCTTCTACGAGTGAAAAACCTCAACTAAAAATTTTACCAAAAAAAACTCCCAATAAAAAAAATCATAATAACTTATAAAAACCAGATGGCGAATAACATCGTTTTCTGACCAAAAACTTTAGAAACTACTTGTTTGCAACCTCTCCCTCTCAGGATGCTTGCAAAAGCATCAGACATTGAAGAAGGTTTTCTCTCCATTTGCTTTGACGGCTAGAGTTTTTTTTTTTTTTTAGTACTATCTTTAATTAGTAAAATAATCTTTTTACTACAAAATTTATAAAGTTAATAGAATTTAATCTTTAGTACTTTACTAAAAGATCTATCATGGTCTTGGTCCATAACATAAAGTCATAAACCAACTCAAGGAAAAAAAAAGGTACATATAAATAAAAATAACAGAGGGGCGTTCCGAGAATCGAACTCGGGACCTCTCGCACCCAAAGCGAGAATCATACCACTAGACCAAACGCCCATATTGCTTTACGACTGTCAAATTTACATAATATCCAAACTTCTGTGAAACTCATTTAACACTGCAAGTTTGCAACTTGGGTGCTATAGCTAGACTCCGCCGCCTTCACCGATTTTTCAAAACAAATGTCCGACGAAACCAAACCCGCCTCCGGCGACTCAGCCGTCTTGCCCAACGGCCTCGTGAGCCATGGCGACTCCAGGACACGCCGAGTCTACGAAACAGCTCGATCTCTCCATTCCGGTGCTGTGAAAGATCTGCTATCTCTCGGGGTCCGTAACTCTTTTCTCGTACTCTCAGTGGTTCTTAGGGTTTCTTCTATATCTTACCTCTTCTCCGTTTCGTTTCCATTCTCTTATCGAAGTAGTAATTCCCAATTTTTAACAAGTCGGTGTGCGTCTGTTCTTCTGTTAGGTGTGCGAGAGATGTATATTCCGATTGGTAGCTGTCGAGCCTTTTGATTCCGATCTTTCTTCGGTCTCAGCATCAACTCTACGAAGTTGGCTAGAAGTCGGTGATGATGAAGCTGGTTCATCGGAGTCTAGAAGTCGGTGCTCCAGAATCTGCATTGTTTGTTTAGGTATATTGCAGTTCGTATTTTCCGATGCCAAACAAACGCTAGTGAAATCGGATTGTGGTAATGGTTACGCTGCAAAGATAACGGAATTGGTGAAGCAGGACGGTCATGAGGTCGATAGCTTTGGCCTCGAAGTCTCTGTGCCATCAATTATCACGGAGAATGAACGTGAAGTCTTGTAAGCTTCACTTGTATTTATGTTTGAGTCTTGGTATATGAACATATTGAATTCTGTCTTATACATTGCACCTTTAAAGTATTTTTTTCTCTTTGTTTTTTCATCAGTTGTTCTAATGTTGATGCCTATATCTTTATAGGTCATACCTCAAAGGAAAGTATAGCACCGAAGGTTGGCTGCAGAGGGAAAAAATCTCTGTAAAGGATGCATTGAAAGTTCTAGTCTTGGATCCACTTAAAACATTGTTGGTGAGTTGTGTTCTTCTTGAATATGTTTCTGTATTAGAGAAATTGATGAGTTGCTTTAGTTTTTTTTCACCTATGCTTCTTTTGCTTAGTATCTTATACAACGGGATTCAAATCTGCCAAATCTGTGGCAAAATACAAAATCTTAGAAATTGAAGTCTTGGAGTTTTGCAGGGTGCTAAATCAGATTCAAGCTCTTTTCACATCCGTTTGACATACGCAAAGGCATCAGATATGGCTCAGGATGCTTCTGAAACAACGCATGAAAGAAAGAGGAGGAAAGCAGGTATGTCCTTTACAATCACTTGGTACTTGGTTGAATTTTTTTTTTGAACTCCACATAAATCATCTATGGGAATTGAGTCAATTGACTGATGGTGGCGGTGCACACATTATTACTTGAAATATCACCTATACTTGTGATATTTAGGAAGTTTGTTGATGAAATAATATTTGACCTTCATGTACGAAATTCTTCTATGGTTATGTCAGAAGACTTTGAGTTATCTACTTTTCTTTCAATGTCCAAGGAGGTGATATGCATTTTATGCCGACCTTTTTACCTGTGTGACTTTTTTTGTTTTGCATAGATGTCATATTTTCTTTAAAAATGCATACATATTTATTTATTTGGCCCTTGTCTAGCATTATTGCCTGCTCCATGTCTTCTTATGACGGTATATACACTTTTCAGACCTTGTGTCCCTCGACATCAATTTCTTACACTTTATATACAGATGATATATTAGACCCCTCTGCAACAAATATCAAATTTTCCAAGTGCTATATTTTTATGTGTAGATGTTGTTTTCGGAGATGAAGAGAATGGATCAAACTGTATGTCGACCAATTCAGTTGAAAAGGTAAATTGATTGCATGTTTGACCCTAGATTTATATTGGATTCAAACTTTCTTTTGTCCGACATTTCGTTGTTTGGCTTACAAGAACTCATGTTCTCTGCTTTTTTTACATTACTAGGTGTCTGAACCATGCATCTTGTCAGTTCATTGCAACAAGATGCCTATCTTTTTTAGTGGGCGATACTTTAAAGTAAGTCAATGTTTTCATGTTCTTGAGGCAATGTATTGTGACTTAACCATTCATTTGTGTGCAAATTGTAGTTCGGTAACAAATGGATTCACATATGACCAAGCAGATATTTAACCTCTTGTTGACGATCTATTTGCAGTACTCCAGAAATGTAAGTCAAACACGATGGATTATTGATGATGAAAGAATGGGCGAGGCATCTGTTGAGGTAGTCTCTTAGTGGTTATCTTGATTCTGGACCTGTTCATATTTTTCCTAAAGATAACTGTGAATTTAAGAGATTTTTAAATATTTTTTCAGGAGATAATTGGTGGAAATATTCTTCCAGCATGCCTTGGAGATTCCTACAAGTTCCATGCGGCTGGCAGAGAAGATATTGATGTAATAAAATCTCCTTTGTTCCGATTTCATGTTCGTATTCAACTAGTTTATATTGATAATATGAAAGAGCTTTATTCAGGTACGGATGCTGGGTTCAGGTAGACCTTTCTTAATCGAGGTTCAGAATTCCCGCCAATGCCCATCTCATCAATTATTGACAGAAGTTGAAGAAAAGATAAACAACTCGGAGAAAAAACTAGTAAGGCCTAATCAATTGAACACATATGTTGTATCAGTTGTTTATACGCTTTTCTGCAAGCTTATAAGCAGTATTTTGGTTGCAGGTCGGAGTTAAAGACCTTAGATGTATTGGAAGTCAGTGTTGGGCAACGATGCGTGAAGGAGAAGCAGAGAAACAGGTCAATTTTGTTAAATCCTATCGAAATATTGTTAACTTAACTCAACTAACACTTTAGTTAGAAATCTAATGAAGACTAATCAAACCAACTACTCCAATGTCTTCAATATATTGCAGAAGCAATATGCGGCACTTGTATGGATTTCTCGTCCACTTGAAGAGAAAGATTTCAACTCAATTTCTTCTCTGAAAGAATTGGTAAGTCATTTGGTTTCTCTTCAGATTAACATCGGATCATTCTAGAGGCCAACATAGGTAATATTCATTGTTTGACTTCAAAAATCGGTCTTTGTTCCTAATGCAATTTGACTCTGTCTTCTTCCAGAAAATATTGCAGAACACACCAATAAGAGTCCTTCACCGACGAAGTCCATTGGAGCGAGAAAGGACTATACACTGGTTAGTAATAATCTGTTGCGGATTTCGGATTTTACTTACCTTGAAGCTTCTTCTGTTCAGTAATAGTCAGTTTTTGTGGTTCCAATCCTCAGGATGAAAGTCGAAAAGATAAAAGGAAATTCTCACTACTTTCTATTGCATCTATGCACCCAGGTTCCAACATCTTCTAACTCATCTCATTAGAACTACCATAATTTTTTTAGACAAGGACAAATTTTAATTTTTCGTTATTGCAGGCTGGAACATACATTAAAGAATTTGTTCATGGAGATCTTGGTCGTACCACTCCCAGGTATAACAAAAAAGGAGCATGTATTTTGTGTTTAATGGTAACAAGAAGAACCATTGAACCATATTAATCAAAGAGTTTGTTTCATTTTTGGTTGCAGCATGGGATCAATTTTAGGGTGCAGGGCAGAGATAATACAACTAGATGTGACTGATGTGAAAATGGGCGATTCTTGAAGTTCGCCAAGTAACAAATCCACAAGCTCTTTCCCTTGTTTCATTTTTGTAGTCTTGATTTCTGTAACAACAATTCATTGTTTTCATAATTTATATTACTTTTTGTTGTATTTTAATTTATAAAAATAAAGAATTACTTTGAAATAAAATTATACGTGGATTCGGTCAGTGATTGGGTTAAATAATTAAATTCTAAATACTTTCGTTCTCAAAAGCATTTCCTTAGTGTGTTATAACTTA